CCTATGTTGGCAGGCGGGCGCCTATGTTGTGAGGCCTATGTTGTGCCTCAGAGACCTCTAGATCATGTTCCTCAAGGGATTCTTTGGGTCTGCCCTCCCCTTCAGTATCTATCTCCAGATCGGAAACTATCCAACTGTTGGTGATTCATGCGTCCAGATGGTCCCTGGAGTCTGGAGAGAAGAAGTCCCTAGTAGAGGAAATGAAGGAACCCTCCAAAAAGCTGGGAAGGACTATTTTGGGGCCTATGAAGAGAGGAACTTATTTTCTGCTTCTAGTCTCTATCAGAGATAGGTCAGGGGCACCACCAACCAAATTATCTCCCTATATTGGGAAAGAAGAAGCTTCCATTAGTTGTGTGATATCTGCATGCCAATGTCTGAGCCATAGCAGTAGGCGAGGAGTAACCTGAGATGCCCTGGCTCAAGCAGATAATTTAATAGAGTTTTGCAGCATCCTTGTGTGCCCTGATATTGGAATTTGAGATAATCTCCCTCAGATGGCGGAGCTACCTGAGAGATGATCTAGTAAAAAAAAAGGGGGGATGCGGCCGACTCCGTTCTTATGCCCACATCAGATCGACATGCCCTACATGGAGACAACTTGACCCTGTATATCCTTTAACTTGAGAGCCTCTTCTGCTTCCGTTGGAATTGCAGAGGAGGATAATAATTGCCACTATTGTTTTATCTACTATCATGGTGATGAGATATGTAGCAGAATCAGAAAACCAAATTTAAAATTTTCTATCATATCCTGTAAGAGGGGTATACACCACTGAAGAAGCCCCTTGTTTCTGGACGAGGTCCAAGAATCTCTGTGAGACAGTTATGACTTCCTCTTACATTATTGGTTGGGAGATTAAATCGTCTGACCCCCCTTTCAGTAACGATTGCTGGGCCAAGGGAAATGGAATATCAGGGCAGGCAGTAGTTTTTTTTTTTGTTTTTTTTTTGAAACAACGGAGACTTGAAAAAAGTCTGAGGTCGAAACAGACCTGAAGGTTGGTGGTCTGGCTTAATGCCTTCAATGTCTGACATGCCCCCCCTTTTTAGGGGATTCGCCTCTGACAGATTTTGGTCACTGTTGTGATTAGACCCTTCCTCAACCTGTTCCAACTGGTCTCTAGTTCTCCCTCATCCTGTGCATCATGTGAATGTGTAACTGGATTATATAATACTCCCCTGAAGGAGGTACCTGCTGGTAATGAAGGTCCATTCTGCATAGTAACTAAATCGAGTGAGAATCGAGGTCAGATTGTGGAGGCTGCCTAGTCATCAACTTCTACTGTACCCCGGCGGCAATGCCTCTTCAAGTCACCATGTCCCTCCAGGCCTTCAATTTGTCAGGGATATCCTCTGGGAGGAGGAATTCTGGCGTGGCCCCACAACTGTCTGTCAGGCAAGTAGCGCTGCTGAAGGCCTGGGTTGAATCGGTCCCTCTGAGGCTCTCCTGGATGGTGAGAGATCCAGGGATGGAGGCAAAGTGAAATATGGAACACTTCACAAATTTGCATGTCATCCTTGCGCAGGGGCCATGCTAATCTTCTCTGTATCATTCCAATTTTAGTATATGTGCTGCTGAAGCCAGCACTCTGGAACTGAGACCAGCCTGGCTGGGGAAGAGGACTGAGACTTCTGTTTAACCTCCCTCGTGCATTTTTTTAAAAAAATATATGCTTATCTAATGCATTTTGGCATCTCTTGGCATCCTTTGTTGCCTTAGAGGTCTCTCTAGGACGTTTTGACCTACTTTGAGTTGGTTTATTGTCCTCTGGGGTATTTTTGGTTGCCCTTGAAGATTCTGCCCACAAGGTGAGATATCTATATCTATATGTGTATGCAATATTAATGGACCATTGACTGGTCCAGAGGCCTGATGTAAACAGAGGCAGGGAATCCTCTTGATATTTGCTCCCCCCCCCCCCCCCCCCCTTTTTGGTAAATTCAATTTGTTATATATGTTATTATTCATAATAATATTGATATCATTAATATTGTTATTATTGATAATATTTTTGTTTTATCTGTGCACAGCTACTAACATAAATTGTTGTGCTGTTACCAAACTCATAATTAGATGACTGAATATGGAATCAAATTGTGAAGCCTAACAGAGAACACCTTTCAGGACCTGTATTGCAATTGGGTGATCCTGCAGTCACTGGCCCTCAACAGCTTTCTGCCCAGGCAGACACAGGCCTTGGCGCTCGCTATTACTGTGCTGCTATATTCTGTGAAGGCTGCCAACTTAAAAAGGAAGCCCGATAGTCAACCTCAGAAAGAGGTCGGCATAAATGTCCCCTGGACCCTCATGGAGAGATCCTTGTGAGGGGAAGTGGACTCTCAACAGATAATGCCGTGGAATTCTTATAAACAAAATGATGCCGGTGTTGTTTTAGTCATCAAGATTTAGCATCAACCATCACCCCTTATTGTGAGCTGATGCGAATCTAACTAGAATTTGAGAATTTGAGCAGGAGAACTCTGAGTCCTCTGGCTCCACCCGATCAATAGCCCTTGCTTCTTCTATATACCTTGCGGGAGTGTATCTGAAACTACAGAATCTCCTGTGGAGAGATACCTGAGGGTAAGGATGCTCTGTCCTGCTTAGTGACCGGAGTTGTAGGGAATTCCAATCGGAAGGAGCACTCTGTTGTTGGCCAGAGCAGTATGCTGCACCCCCGTAGAGATACATTGGCTTATTGCTAATTCCATTCAGTCTCATCTTTGCGGGGATCTTTTCCGCTAAGTCATCATCTTGACAGAATCTGGCTGCTGTTGGAGCAATGTGGCCACAGAGTCACTTCTTGTCACTTGTACTGACCTGATCTTGTGCAGCTGTGCTGCGTCTGGATTACACTGACAGATCCAGGGGTGGTTGCAGAGGGAGATTGGAGCCGAAGTAGACCTGGAGATGAGGTTTGAGAATTTTCTTCATCCTCCCACGTGAACTTCATGTGCTTTTCTGGTACCTTATGGCACTTGTTAGCGTCTTGGAGGTACCCTTAGAATGCTTCAATTTGTTTTGAGAATTTGACATGGCTCTTGACATGGCACACTTGTCATTGTGACCTTATTAAATTTTACTTAACAGGCATGATATTCCCCTCTGAAAAAAAAAATCGGGGCCGGCCAAAAGAGACCCCCCCACCACGCGCCAAGAAATCGCTGCCCAGCTCTTTTCCTGCCGCTCAGAGGCCTCCGCTCGCACCGCCCGCCGCTCCGCTCGCACCGCCCGCCCTCCGCTCACACCGCCCGCCCTCCGCTCGCACCGCCCTCCGCTCAGGTATCCGGCTGGGGCTGTCAGGAGTTGCTACCGCCGGCGCGGCTTCGCACAGCTCCAGTCCCGCGTTGCCCCAGGAAGGGAAAGGCAAAACCAGGAGCCGCTGCTGCCGTTGCAAAGCGCTCTTCCTTTTTGCCTTTCCCTTCCTGAGACAACGCGGGACTGGAGCCATGCAGAGCCGCGCCGGCGGTAGCAACTCCTGACTCGGGGCCTCCGAGGGGAGGGGAAGGAGAAGGGGGGAAAGGGGGGGGCGATTCCCCAAAAAATCGGAATTCCGATTTTAATCGGAAGAATATCATGTCTGTGTTAATGAGGCTGAAATGTTGGGCGGTTGGTATGCCCAGGGGCCGGAACCAGCAACGGCCAGGGAACCCTAAAACAATGCTCCTCAGTTTTGTATAATCTTATGTAAGAATATTGAATTCTTATTCTTGTTCCTATTATTATTATCATTTTGTTATTAATATTATTTCCGAATTAGCCAAATTTGGAACACCTCATAGGCCTAGAAAGGAGGAATTGTTGAAATAAGATGTAGGCCTGCGACAGCTTCCTGCACAGGCGGACACGGGCCTTGGTGCTCGCTGTGGTGCTGCTGTTTAATTCTGTGAGGGCATAAGCTAACAGTTTCCTCCTTAATGAATAAGGGTCCAAAATACAATAATTATATCTGAATATCTATATATCTATATCTATATCTAATCTAATCTAAATCTCTATCTATCTATCTATCTATCTATCTATCTATCTATCTATCTATCTATCTATCTACACACACACATTATTGTATTAGGGCGATTTCCCTCGGGTTCCAGGAAGGAGACTCGAGACTCCTGCTTGGGGAAAGAAGAGCCTCACAGTTCCAGAAATAAAATGCAGATCACTACCACATGGTTAGTGAGTCTGCAATGGCACCAGCCGTTATCTCTTTAGGCGCATAATGAGTTAAATCGGCTCAGCAGCACTTCCACGCCTTGTGGGGAGTCGGTACTAAAGTTTCCCCTTGAATAAAAAGGTGCGGTGGGGCAGATGGGCGCTGATGCCCCCACCCCAGCCGGTGTTCCCAAGGGAGAGAAAGAAGCCTCGGACCCTTTTAAAATGGAGCCTCTCCCATTGGGCGCAGGCGGCAGCAATCGTAGCGGCTCGGCTTGAAAAGATCGTAATGGTACGGGCTAAGAAATGTGAGTTGTTAGCCATGCAGCTGAGGGGTTATCGCCTCCGATTGTCCTGGGGGCAAGAGATCATTATCTGAAGCTACGGTGAGCTCCATTGGCTTGAAACTAAAAGCTTTAAAGGAGTTGTTTAGAGTTTAAAAGCAAACCTTTTTGTTGTCTCCTTTTGAAGCCTTTGCTATTCCGGCCAAGGGAAAGGAAATTAAGCTGCCTATATCCACGAAGGCTGAGCAAAAAACTGGGGATGCTAGGGAGGAGTCCCGTGGAGAAGTGTCCTCTCAATTAAAGCCCAGCCTATCAGACGAGCAACAGAAGCATCATCCCAAACAATGGATGCTCTGAACAACTCATCTGGAGAAACAGTAATTACATTCTTCCAAGGCTACTTCTATAATGGGATTTTGTAAAACGTACGCTATAATATAGATGTCGCTATTTTAATGCTAACACATAAAATAAGGGAAAATAAAAATGAAGGTGCAAGCATAAACTAATTTTGGAATCATTTAATGACTGAAAGTTTACATAGTTTTCACGAATACTCAATTCAAGCATTGTTCTTATGCAGACATAGTTTCTCCCTTCTGTTTCACAGGAGCAATATATTCGATCAAGTAGCTTAGGACTCTCAAGTTTCAAGAGGGATTCTTCAAATAAAAGCTGAATGAAGTTTTGAAGCTGTACTCCAACCTTTAAAAACAAATAGTCCAAATAAAATATAACTGAATAACCTTTAATGTGATTACATCTTCAGTACATTTTGTTCTGATGAATGTGTACTTCGATTTAGTATTGTAGTTGAAGTGACTTGTGTGTGTTGTGTGTTTTGTGTGCAGTGCCTAGACCAGGGGTGCCAAACTGGTGGCCTACAGGCTGAATGCTTCATGCACAGGCCATGCCCACCCTGGCTCCACGAAGGGGAAAAATGTCACAAAATGTCACATGACAGCTACACGATGCAGTGAGTTTGACACTCGTGGCCTAGATATTTGTTTAGTCCCACATTACAACTTCCAGAAGCATAAAGTGATTAGAAATAAACATGAAACTGTAATTGGAACGTGTACTTTAGGGCTAGTCTCTTTTCATGTGGTTAAAGATGATATACCAAAATGTGATATCTCCTATCGTGGAGGCCTGAATCAATTTTTCTAAGAGAGCTTTCTGCAGTTTTTAATTTTTTAAGTAGGATTTTATACTCCCTTTTTTTGCTCCCAAAGATTTCAGCAATTGCAGTCAGCCTTTACTCTTAGTTGATTTAAAATATTCAATTATGGAGTACTCTGCTGTTTCTAAGACCCAAAATTTCAAGTTAAAAGTTTATCAAGGGACATGCTAAAAGATACAGGGGAGGACTTGTATAAATAACTTAGAGTCAATGGGGGAGAGAGAAAAAATATGCATGGACTAAAAGCAGTAGAACAATAAAATTGCTGTTTTAGCACCTGGGATTTCATCAGACCATGTTTTCCTCTAGTGTTATTCCTTTCTCAACCTGGTTTGGCTACATTTTCCACCATCCCTATTCAGCATGGCTGTTTTCAGTGTAAAGACATTGGAATTTGGAGTACCAAATTTCTCCTTAAATGCCATACTTGTCCCTTTAAACATTGTTACATGGAAAATCACTCTTAACGGAAAAAAATGACTGGTATTTTTATACCGTAGAACTCTCATTCCAAACTGAATAGATAGTTACTTTATAATTTTATAATGGTGTCCTCGTTTTATTCCTGGCCGCGTTCATGATTGCTATTCTTAGAGGATTCCTCCTTTTTGTCAATACAACCCAGAGATCATAGTTGCTTGCTGAACTCTGCATGGTGCAACTGTCCTGAAAAACATTCAACATGTCGTTATTACATTTCAACCATGATAACCTTCATAGATCTGATGGCATTTGGTCTTGTGGGTGTTGACTTGGGGGACAGAGGATGGGACAACAACAACACAATAATTCCATTCTTTTTTATTTGGCTTAGTCCTGATGGTATTGTTGAAGGATTACACTCTACTGTTAAAACTCAGACATGGACACCAAAATTCATATTACATTAAGACTTTCATCTGCTCCTTCATGCTGTTCAACTGCTGAGGAGTTAAGCTAAAACTTTCCAGGGAACATCATCAGTATAAAGAGATTCCTAAATCTACTGCACTATGTTACCTAACATCAAAAAAGTGACTGAATATTCCCAGAGTGATAATGAGGAAAAAGTTAAAATAAAATCTAAGCCAAATGGAGGTGATGTTATTAAATAGGAAACTATATTAAGATGAAGTTTAGCTTGCACTGAAAGAGGCTTCACTGCTATGAAGAAATATACTGACACCCTAAGTATGCTCCTACATTCTCAGTATTTCTAGTAAATTTAAAAATAATTTAAAACATTGAAAAGTCTTGCCCCAAATTCTCCCTTATTTATTTAATTTTTATGCTGTCCATCTCCCCTACAAGATAACTCTGGGCTTCCTTCCAGGTGTATATGCAGGATATGGTTTAAAAAGTCAAGATGGAAGCAACAATGGTGCAACTAAAACTATTCCTTATGGATCACATGAGTAACGCATGTAAAAAAAAGAGAGCGCCATTTGGACTTCTCTGATGCCCGCTGGACACCCCTGTTCCCTTCAAATATGTTTTCCAATTGGACCCCAATATATTATGGATCTTGTTCTGTCATTCAGTTGGTCATCCTTACCAGTGAAGAGTATATAGCAGCTTCATACAGAGAAAACAATTGCTTCTGGGCATAAATTAAGAAGCTTCTACATAATTAAGGTAATAATTAGCTAATTAAGCGATGTAAAGAGAAAACAAAGATACCTGAAATATAAAGAATTCATCCTTCCTGGGTGATTTTGCATCTTCAGCCATACTTCAGAATCTTAACAGCTTCCTAGAAATAGATACACCCGGTTAAATAAAGTATTCTCATTGTACATTGTTGACTACACACGCTTTACTGTAATCTTCAGTTATTTCTCAAAGTTCATCTAAGAATTATCAATTGCAAATGAAATTAATCCTTCTGGGAGATGGGGTATACAGATTTATGAAGAACTTTAAAATCCATTTCTATCCCAAATAAAAATATAATTTTTCTTCTTCTTTCAACAGTGCAAATCAACTTACCATTTCCTTATAATATGGGAATGCTCTGCATATTCTTCAACTCATTAATTTCCCCACCATCACCCTTCCCATGTATACCTGAATCGCTGACAAGGTTCTCCTCTAACATACTTAGAAAAATTGATATACTTCACATGTTCTGCTCAAAAAATAGGATTGCATTAAAACATTCAAAAATAGGATTATAAAAAGTTGGAAGACAGATAAAAAGTAGCATTTTGAATTGTAATAGTGCTCTTCTTCTAATAAATGACTAGAAAAAAAATTAAGTTAAAACATTGCACTGAATTTGGCTTAGTATGCTTGAAGCGGAGTGGGAGTGACCAGGGCACTGGAATTTCTAAAACAATTGTGTAACGCTGCCAAGAAAACCACCTGTTGTCAAGAACTGAGCTCAAGTAAAGGATCTCTTTAAAAAGCTCTGTGTATTCTGTTCAAAGCCATAAATATAGACTACGGAATTTAATAAACTAATTCTCCATTTCTAGAAGATTTCACTGCAAAGAGAAGTTTGAAAATGTATGGTAAGGAATAGTAATCACTGGGTTGGAAAGCAGGACGCTGCCCATATACAATACTAGCAAAAACAGAATTCAGTAAAATAATTGAATATATATCTAAATACAATCATATATTAAGCACTGAATCCAGCTTTTCTAACCACAGAACCAATGTTACATATAGCCCCAGTTCAAGTAATGCAAACTTCCTTCACTTCTTTTACAGCCACAATTTTTGGATGTTAATTTTCAGTCCAGAGTACAATTAGGAATTTTACTTGCAAATAAGAATCACAATTAAAGCAATGATATTAGATAAAAAAAATTGAATAAACAGATTGTGTAATTTACATAGAAAACTAAATTTGTTTTTATGAAACATTACTATTTTAGATTAAGTAAATGTTTAAAATTTTAATTTAACAATATTGGCAAAATTATGAACGAAGATCCATTATTCATTAAACAATTAAGATTTTACCCTGAAACACTGGGTACAGTCTATGTCAGTATTTTAAAATACCAATTTAAACACAAAGTAATCAAAGCTGTTTAAAGAAAGAGCTCCACTTTAAAAGCAGCAGGAATACTACATAGAAATAAAATCTGAGATGTTTAATCTGTGATAGTATGACAGGGGGCTCTTTGGTTCCAGCAAATATTAGTCTAAGGTTAAAATAGTAAGGATTCAGTGCAGTTACCATTAGGGTGGTAACTACAAATCTCAGAGTCTTTTCATTCAGAGCAACACATAAGCTACTGCATTAAAAGGTACTCCCTCCCTCTGCCCCACTGTATTCCAAAATGTCTTTAACATTATAGCCATGAATTGTATGTATGTGTTCGCGAGTGCGTAACTCCCAAATATAACAGAAGGATAAGTTTTCCATTGTGATCTGGTGCTGGGACCAAATACCACCAATACCACTGAAACGGTCTGAAAAATGCTGTAACTAACTTAGATACTATTTATCTAAGTGTTAGATTTGTTCAGTTATCCAGCAAATCAAAATAAGGCAAACATGTCCCTGCTCCACAAGAGAGTCTTGCAATCAGATACTGCTTTATCTTGATTTCAATTTAAAAATAATGCAGCCCATTATAATTCTAAGGAACTGGAGGTTGGAAGTAATGTTGAGTTATTTTTAATTTTGCTTACATTGGAGTTCCAACAATCCTACCTAAAAAAGCTACACGGGAAACTCAATTAAAAGAGGAAAACCAAGACAATAACCAAAGTTAACAAAGTTTCTTCAATGGAATCTGTATGGTGCTTAATTGCTAATCCAAATACAATATTCAATTAAGGCAACTGCATTTTTAAATAAATTCAGCTATTGTATATATTCAATTTTAAACTGCATTTATAATTTATCATTTGTTCTTATTAAAATGTCATAAATACCACTGATGATCTGATACTGCATGATGGTTAGAAAACCCAGCTGTGAAATGCTTAGTTCACATCTTTCCTGAATCATAAATGATAAACTGAGACCAACTATAACAATCCCAGTTCCCTACATGTGATATGCTGATAATACATAAATTTCATAATGTAATCTACAAAAAGCATATTATCATGTTCATCTTTTATTTTAAAAAAGTTTGCAATATCATTCCATTTGACAGTGATCTCCAATATTCTAAATATAGACTCCCTTCCTCATTTCAAGATTCATATTCGGAAAGCTATCTGGAATCCTTTCGCATTCTTATATCAATCCATTAAAATTGTTACCTTTTACTTGTAGCATTTCAAGCAACCGTATCCCCATTATGTCCTTTCCCGTCCACACTTTTCAACTTTATTTAAGGAGGATGGCGTATTTGACTTAAGTCAAAAGACTTGCTGAAAGAGAGATATAATCTGTTGCATCTGTTGCATGGTATTTCCCTTTTGGACCAAATCATGTGTTTTATGAAGAAAGGGAACAAGACTGATTGGATACAATTATTTGTCATATTTTCACAAATTTCGAATACATGTAGATGACATTTTTTAAAATTTTATCGCAGCAGGTATTTTCACTTTCTGTCAAGAGTACTCTGCAAAACATTCAAATTCTTTCCTTTTAAAAAAATAATAAACAAGTATGCATAATATTACCTATTTATTAAAGATATTTCCATTCCAGTTCTACATATATCCCCATCGCTGTACTCCCCCTTTCAGGATTAGCAACAAGATACAAAGATGCAAAATAGTGTTAAGAAGCACAAAAAATTTAAATGAGACGGAAGAGGAAATGAAACATATCTAAAATTAGCTTCCACCAATATCACTGATATTTTGCAAACCAAATAGTGTACTTCCACATGTCTGTACACTAGGTGTTATATACTTGCTCTTACTTTTCCCACAAGGTTTCTATATTCATTTTAGATTTCCCACATTTTTTTCTCCTCTACTGAACCGTTTCATGCTTCCTTTAAATATTTGTTTTCCAATTCAGTCCTCATTCAAATCTCTTTATATACCGAAACCATTTAGCATATTTCTCATATAATGGTTCATTTTTGTATTCTGTAAATACATACATACCAGTTCCACACATGGTCATTCATTCTTGTGTCTTCAATGGCCTAATTACCTGCTTTGTATTTCTTTTCTTGTCCCTACCCATCCATTCATATCCCCTAGCAGAACAATTTTTCTCTTGGATTGATTTCAGCACAGAGTAAGCTTGTTTTTCCAAACTATCACCAGTTCATGGATTCCTATTTGCATATTTACAAATATATTCACCACAACGTAATTCATATACATTGTTACTTTCTGACCTCCAGTTTAGCCTTTTCATTTATATTTAAACTGCATTTTACCCTTTGTAAGTTTTACATCTTTTTTCTTTCAGTTGCATAGTATTTGCTTTTTTAAATTCATTTCCATGTTTTATGATTATAAAACATCCCAAAGCAATTTACAGTAAACATAACTTTGAAAATAAAAAAGATAAAAACAAAATAAAACAGAGTATCTCTGTATTGGTACACCTTGGTACCTTGTCAATACACAATGCAGGCATCCATCTAGAGAAAGTCTAGTTGCGTATTGTTGCCAGAAAGCAAAAAGAAAGCTAAGGAAGCAAGCAAGAAAACAGTGCACTATCTCGAAAGAAGCAACTTGACTCCAGATATGAACAGTGAATCATGAGGAACAGTTAAGGCAAACCTATAGATTAGGCAATGAGAAAAGTTAACAGAATGCCTAAATCTGAAGTGCTTTCATGTGGATTCCTTCACTGAACAAGGGATGGCATAAATGGCCCGTTATAATCTTAAGTTTCTATGAAATGAGAAATCTGCTCAGTTAAGTCTAATATGCATTTATTGTACAAATGTATGGCAAAAACATGTGAAATTCTCTTGTTATTCTTTCTGATATGCTTTAGATGAAAATAGAACTATTCTATATATGTAAAGGCAAAGTTTAAGGATAAGTTATAGTACAACCTTCCATATGCTAGAAACTTGCTGAATTGTATATTTGTAAAAGATATATTTTATTTACACTGCTGATTCCTTTATTGTGTACTAGTTATACAACCATTATAATGCCGTGGCTTTATCTGTGGGTCCTCTATCCTCTACTTTGATAAAATACTTAGAGTGCTTATCACAGCGGTTATGACCTGGTCACCAATGTACCAAAAAGAAACTCATGGGATTTTTCTTGCCTTTGTATTTAGGTATTTTCTACTAATTCAGTTATTTCGTTTCTGTTTCACAAAGAAAGCAGTGAACTGCAACCATTCATATGAAATACGTGGTTGTTTTTTTTTGGGGGGGGGGTTCCTGAAAAATGGGGATATATCAATTTTTAATAATTTCCTCAAAATTAAGATAAAAGAAGTAAATCTGGAAAATGGGTATGTACAGGTAATCTTAATCTTACAATCATCCATTTAATGATTTTTCAAGGGTTATGACATTGAAAACAGTAACTTATGAACAGTCTTCACACTTACGACTGCTGACCATCCCCATGGTCACGGGTTTAAACCTGGATGTCTGACAATTGGCATGTATTTATAACAATTGCACTGTCCCAGGGTCATGTGATCACCATTTGTAACCTTCCCAGCCAGTTTCCGAAAAGCAGCCAATGGGCGAAGTCAGATTCACTTAACAACTACAGGATTCACTTAACAACTACAGGATTCACTTATCACCTGCAGTTATTTGTTAAACTGTGGCAAAATGTCATAAAATGAGGCACAACTCACTTAACTATCTTGCTACCTGTAGCACTTTCTTATAA